GAGAGGTTGTGGAGTCTCCATCCTTGGAGATATTCAAAAGCCATCTGGACATGGTCCTGGGCAACCAGCTCTCAGTGGCCCCGCCTGAGCAGGGGGGGTTGGACCAGATAATCTCCAGAGATCCCTTCCATACTCAACCATTCTGTGATTCTGCACAGCTATCAGCAAGAAGAACAGAAGCTCTAGCCTTATTTCAGGTAGGCTTATGTCTAACTGATTGATATCCTTCTGCCCATCAATGGTTGTGTCTCATTTTAAGCATGTGCTGAAATGTTTTGCTTGAACAAGGACAAAAGGAAATGGGCTCAAGCTGCGTCAGGGGAGGTTTAGATTGGATATTAGGAAAAATTTCTTCACAGAAAGAGTGGTCAAGCATTGGAACAGGCTGCCCAGAGAGGTGGTGGAGTCACCATCCCTGGAAGTGTTCAAAAAATGGGCAGACGTGGCACTTGGGGACATGGTTTAGTGGGCATGGTGGTGTTGGATAGACAGTTGGACTGATGATCTTAGAGGTCCTTTCCAACCTTAGTGATTCCTAGTTTTTACTTTCATTAAAAAATAATCCAGCCACCAAGCCAGGAAACATGAAATTATTACTCTACCCTTAATTGGTTTAGTGGTGGACTTGGTAGTGTTAGGTTAATGGTTCGACTGGATGATCTTAAAGGTCTTTTCCAGCCTAAATGATTCTATCATTCTATAACAGGCACTTGTATTCACAGGTTGGCCGCTGATGCTGCACTGCTTTGGTGCCAGGCCACCAAATCACTAGATACTCACCTCTGATAGAAATTAAGGAAAACTGGACACCCAAATACTTTTGTGGATGATGAACTTAAATCCCTCTACTCAGTGTCAGGGAAGCCATTCTGCACCTTCCTTGTGAAAAGGGAATGAAAATCACATAGCTACTGTGAAACCTGGAAGGTGCTTTGAGATGCACAGATAAAACCACACCCTATTGTTCATTATTGTTATAATTCTTATCCACTCTAATATACCCACTCTACAATTATGATCCACTTTTCTTCCTAATGACTCATAACCTCCTGTAGTTGTGCGTTTGAGAATTTCACACCACACCAATCGTTTTGCTTTTACAGATTTTTTTTCACTAAGGTTTTTAAATAATGATCAGTACAGTACAAAGCTTAAAATATTGTCAATGTTTTCAACAATACAAAGCCAGCAGGAAGGAGTTGGGAAGGGTTAGGTAACACTCATACCATTCCCTGTTTCTTAGGGAAAAAATACAAACTCTATTGTACTTCTGTTTAGTAACAAACAGTGCTTAAAAATAATTTTGTCAGTAAAAGATGTAAATTGCAAGGCACATGAGGAACCCGTCCTTGCCTTGTTACACAAATCATTAAGCATAAATACAAGTTTAAGGCACCTCTCTCCATCCTCCCCTTCTGCTCCGTACACCAAGCGAACCCTGTCAGTGGGTATCAGCTGTTAAGAGCACCCATGGACCGGCAGATAGCTAAGAGGCTGCCCCTGAGCCTCAGGTTCCTTCAGGATGAATCCCAAAAAGGAATAGGACAAGGCACATTGGGGTGAATTCTCAGGAGTTGTCCTGTACAGGTCCAGGTTGCAAGATCTGCATAAACACTCCCTCAGGACCAGAGGTTCCTGGGGGAGAGGGTTAGGACCTTGGTCCCTTCAGGGTCTTGGACGTGCTCAACCTTTGGTGGTCAGCTCTTTACCAAACCCTGCCACTGGTACGCCCCTCCCAAGCTGTGCCTCCCTTAGAGGAACGCCAGGATGGAAGGAGGCACGCTCCAAGCAGTGAGCCCCAGGAGAAGGCCCTGAGAAGATCTCAGACAAGCTGAGCATTTATCACAGCGGCACTTCTACTCTCTCGGGACCCAGCCCTGGGCTCCCCTAGATCAACGGCAGGGCTTTCAGGAGGGCATTGGCAGCCACTTTCCAGTCCTGGCCTGGCTGGGGTGCAGCAGACTGCACGGCACGTGGAGTCTGCCCAGGTAGGCAGCCAGGTGCATAAGGCACAAGGATGAAGTCCGGGGATGAGGGAAAGAAATAAGCTGGTTGGAGGAAGAGGAGGAGGATGGAGACAGGGATGAAGGAAGCTCCAGTGTTGGTGAGCCCCTTGTGACACAAGGGTGCATCCTCACAGCAGCAGCGATCGGTATTGAATTTCCCTGCTAAATCAACCCATCATAGTAACCAGGAGGTCAGCTCCAGGTCTGAGTGCAGGGCCACACGGGGATGTGAGTGGCTTCACCTGAGGGGTAACATGAGAATATGTAAAAACACCACCACTGTCACACAATTGCTCCAGAAGAAGTTTCACTTCTGCTGGACCAGGGAGGAGAAGACATATGACCAGAAATACCTTGGCAGAGCCGTGTGGGGACCTCCTCTCCCTCTCCCTGAACTAGACGGCATTACTGTACTCATCCTCCTTTGACAAGGGGAGGACATGTTCATCTATTTTCAAACCCTTAGAGAAGGAAACGCCTGGGTGATCCCGTTCTTTGGTATCAGTATAACTCCAGGTAGCAGCAGAGCAGGGTTTGCTATTAGCAGCGATGCCCACTCCCTCTCAGTTTTAGCCTAGAAAGGAGCTCTGGACCAGCCTGGTTTACTCCCCTTCCTGCACAGGAGCCCACTGATACCGTCCAGCCAGATCCACACTCAGTAGCTTATTCTGCTTTACCTACCGCAAAAGCAAGGCAAATTAAGCTGTGAGAAAGAGCACTGCTCCCACTGGACGTCTTTCCCCAAACCAGGAGGAGACCCACAAGCAAAGCCATGGAGACCATGGAGGGAGCAGCCCCTCGGCACAGCTAAGGTAGTTGAACAAACAGCAGCTGTTGCAAGGAGGAACTGCTACCGGCCTCCACTCTGGCCCTTCCCTGCAGGCTGCAGTGTTGTCCAAGTGAGATGGCTGAAAGTTAAAACCAGCAGATCATTACTGACATTTTTGCAGTAGGATTGGTCTTCTGCTGGTCCATCTCCCGGCACTGGCGCGCTCTGTGGTCAGATGAGCTTCTGTTGCAAGGGAAGGGGAATGACAAGGTGTAAGAGGGACCGTCCCCACTTGCCACTCCCCTGAGGCAAATCTACTGTTAGGTCAGCATGGCTGTACCATCAAAATACACCACAGGAAATGAAGTAATTAATTTCTAAGCTGGGCTGGATGTAAACCTAGAGTGATGAGAAAGGGTGGACCTGATGACCTCCTGAAGGCTTTCCTACGATTTCTTCTCCTGTAGTCAAAACTTACTTCCCTCCCCCTTTGTATTTAATTTGTCAACAGGGCCATGAGCTTCAAATTTGTCCACAAAACATAGGACACAGCAAAGCACCTATTAATCGATCTGTTTTCAGAGATGCTGTTGTCTGGCCCACCTTCCTCCTCCAGCAGCATAGCACTGTTTCCTTCAGGCTAATCTTGACCCAGCTAGGAGGCTCTGCAGATATAAAAGTCAAAGGCAAAGCCTTTCTGGATAATAAATCATGCACGCACACGCAGACACAAACACACACACATCTCAATAGTTAAAATAACAGATCAAGTGCAGAAATCAGTGCTTGTCATGACAAATCATACCCCCAACCCTAACTTCCGCCTGCTCAGAACCAGCAATCACAATTCATTTTCCTGCCCTTGGATTCAGTAAGACAAATCTGTGGCTGGAATAGATCCCGTGGCTTCCTTGCTTTCAGCAAATACTTACACCTCCTAAGAATTTGCCAGATGTCAAGGCATCTGAGGTTGCAGGTACTGCACAGTGTATAGCTGGGAGGAGCTGTGCCAGGGTCTACCAGGTAAAGCAAGCAGTGGGTCAAGCAGAAGGTGTCTAGGCTGTGTGGGACCATATCTCTGCATTGGCTCTGAGTATCCTGTCCTGCAAGTGCTACCAACTTCAGTGCAACAGTGTGGCTCTGTATCTGACATTCCTCCCTAAGCAAGCAGAGAAGAGACTCATCTAGTGGGGGACACAGTAAACCAACCTCTTCTACACCTTGGACAGGACTGCTACTGAGGAAGGCTCAAAACCATCTCCAACCTGGCCCAGACCCAGCTCCTCAAAGGCAACTAAGCACTTAAAATGGAAGTGAGGAGCCTTTGAAGACGTCTTGTAGGCTACCAAACAGCCATCTGCACTGCCACTATCTTAGGTCAAATTCCAACTGCTGAGAAAGACTCTGTCTCTTGTTAGTAATCCTTGGGACAGCCTGACTCCTTGGTTTTGATGAGCAGCTCCTCTGCAGATGGTGCAGTCATACAGAAAGAGAAGATGGAGCTGACCTAACATCTCCATCTGTGCTGGACCCACACCAGTCACCAGCAGACACAGCGCTCAGGTTCAGACCCAGTTCGTCCTAGAAGACCCCAGGCCAGGCCTCAGTCTCCAAATGTGCTTCACCGAAGCCACCTCAGCAACCTGGCATTGAGATACTTGACAAGGGGACCGTAGAGAGATCCTGGCTTAGCCCAGCTGGAGCAGGAAAAGGATTATACCAGCCACTGTGCCACACACGCAGCTGAACCCTAGAAATGTAGTCTCCTCCTGAAACCTTGTTACTGCCTTTGTTAGTAACAGGTCTCCCACAGAGAGCAGAAAAGACAAAACCCAAAGAGGTCATCACATCCAGCCGTGGTCCTCACGGTGTGTTCTCCGCTGCGCTGTGAGCCCTGGCAGACCCTTCTACAGTCTCACAGCCTTCAGGCTGCCCTCCCTGACATTCAGCAAAATGTCACCCACAGGTTTACCAGAATGAACAAGAAACCTCTGCCTATTCCAGCATCCTTGGTTAAATGACTTGTTCTGGCTTAAAACACCCCATGTCCCCCTGGATGGCAGAAGGTGGTCCCTGCTGTGAAAATGCATCCAGCATTAAGTCTCCAGCCCTCCACCTGAGGCCAGGGTGCAGGTTAGTCACAGTGTGTTAGGCAAATAAGCCAGTTATGTCTCTAATATGTTATGCCCCTTTTCTTGATTTTTCACCACCCTGATGATGTCATACCCATCATGTTCGTGACTCTCAGGAGTCCTTTTTAGCCAGGCTGGCCTTGATCCTGCATCGCAGGATGTAGGCTGTGATGGCACTACAAGCCACCAGGCCAAAAAAAGAGATGCAGGAGAGATAGATGGAGAGAGGCCCGTGTCTCTTCAGGAAAATCTCCTGCCTGTTCTTGTAATCCAGTAAAATGGCCTCCAGCTGTGATAGGGTGCAGATGGCCAGGAAGGTGTGGAAGATCTGGTGGGCATGGCCAATGATATCACAGGAGCCAGGGAAGTACTTCTCAGGGACCGGGCAGGAGAAGAAATAAGCACTGATAAGGAAAAACAGTATCTGGTACGTGTGGTACCAAGCAGCATCTTCCTCACAGCCCCCCAGGTGACACACAACCACCCGGTGAGCGACAGGACTGATATCCAGGATGAACGCCAGCCCGGCTGGGATCACCTGGCACATCTTCCTCATGATGGGGTAAGGCCGTCGATACCGATATTTCGCGTAGCAGCAGCCGGCACAAGACAGCCAGCCACAGAAAGCAGCTGCCGGCAGGAAGAAAAGCCAGAACTTGTCATACCAGGCTTGGTCGGAGCTGTAGTAGAAATGGGCCAGGGCGCTACCATACTGGTAGATGCTGACTCCGATGTAGTCCACGAAGTAGAAGGTGTAGTGGTACAGCTCCGATTTGGACTGCAGAAGGTGGGCCAAGAGGCTGCAGGTCAGGTATGTGACAGAGGAGAGGACAAAGATGAGCAAAGGCAAGGACCACGCGTCCACGGGTAACTGCTCAGACTCCGCAAACATCTTGAATCTCAGCAGCACAGCCAGCGCGGCCAGGAGATGAGTCCACACGTTGACCACCTCGTTGTGCTTCTGGAAGAGGCTAAGAAAGTAGTACCGCCAGTCCTGGCCGGTGGGACGGTACCCGGTGTGGATGTACGGCTCACGGAAGAGCTGCGGAACCTCGCACTCTTTGACCGTGCAAGGCATCTTGGGGAAGCCATCCTCCAGCAGCCTGGGGAGACGGCTGAGATGCTGCCCACTGAGGGACAGCATGCCGATCCGCTCCAGGATGGCTGTCATCTCGCTGCGTGCGGCGGCTGCGAGCCCGGCTCTGGGGAATGCCGTCTTCGTGCCCTGTGGGGAGGGGAGAAAGCAGAAATGTTAACAGTGATGCAGCAGAGAGAAGAGCGTGCTGCCATTCCTGGGTGGGATGAGCCATGGTGCTATAAAGACACTAGCCCTGCTCTTAGGGGAAAGAGGCTTTTCTTGACTCAGCAGATCTAAATTCAGCATGGAGAAGGATGGCACAGCCCTGGCTCTGCGGGTCAGCCTATGTCAGATGGGCACAGCAATGTCACAAGCCTGCCCTTCTTCCCCACTTCCTCGGACACTCAGCTTGGACCATCTTTGATGAAAGGAGGTTGTAGTGAGGTGGGTGTTGGTCTCTTCTCCCACGTAGTTAGAGATAGGACAAGAGAAAATGGGCTCAAGCTGCACCAGGGGAGGTTTAGATTGGACATTAGGAAAAATTTCTTCACGGAAAGGGTAGTCAAGCATTGGAACGGGCTGCCCAGAGAGGTGGTGGAGTCCCCATCCCTGGAAGCGTTCAAAAAACGGGTAAACGTGGCACTTGGGGACATGGTTTAGTCTAGTCTACCCTTGATTGGTTTAGTGTGGACTTGGTAGTGTTAGATTAATGGTTGGACTGGATGATCTTAAAGGTCTTTTCCAACCTAAACAATTCTATGATTCTATGATTCTATGATTCTATGACCATGTTTAGGAGTAGCCAGGAGCTACCAATAAGGGGGTGCAAGAGGCAGTGAGATGTCAAGAAGGCACCTGATGATTTGTGGAGGAGATTTTTCACCCCTTTCCCCAGAACAAACAGCTCAGGGACAAAATTGGGGTGTAATTACTCGTCAAAGGGATAACCTGCCTTTCTGCACCTAAGAGGGTCCCAACCAAATTGTGGAGGTTGCAAATAAGCCCGGCTTCCCTGCCACACAGCTTGCACATGGGTTGCACGCCTCGGGCTCCTGCAGTGAGTACGGCAGAGGGAGAAGGGGAGAAGTCCACAGTCCCAAACCTGCAGCCCTCATCCCTCCATGTGTAAGAAGCCGCAGGACAGGGAGGTGATGGAGAAATGAGGAGACCTGGAAGAGAGCTGGCTGTAGTTTGGGTATAGTGTCAAAGCCTTGGGAGCATCCACAGAGCCACGCTGAGGGGCTGCCAGACAAGACGTGCCCGGATGCTCAGAGCAGCCAAATGCCAGCGCTGGGCATTCCTCTGCCTGCTCTGCTCCTTGGCAACCTCCAGAGTTGCTAAGCTCTGGCTGGAAAGATTCAGATTCAGGGCACAGCAGGATCCTAATGTCTGGAGGCTACCTCAGAGCATTGAATTCACTCCCAATACCCTCTGTTTCCCTTCCACCCTAGATATTTCTTTTCCATGCTGGTGTTTATGCCACACCAAAAAGAGGAGAACTCACTGCACAGATGCCCGTGCTTGAACTGAAATTGATGCTGATGGAGCCCCACCAGACTCTGCAGAGCTGCGGTTACCCCTGTGCGGCCAACACATACATGTTTGCAGGAGTGGAGCCTGCCTCCTAAACTTAGATGCACCCAACCAGAGCTGCAGTGCATGGAGATGGCCAAAATTAAGTAAATGCAAATCAGTATTTTGCCTGAGTGTGGGAAATAGCTTATTTTTCCTCCGTTGCATCAGATACCAGCTGCTGCCAGAGGTAAGGCAGAGGAATAGTTTGCATGGGCACATGACGGGGGACCCACACTAGGCTGGAGATACCGAGGATGGGAAGGTCTTAAACACAGAGAGAGAGTGAAAGCAGAGAGACCGGACCTGTCAGAGTCCCAGTGTGAGACAGCACAAAGAGCAAAGTCAGAGCAGACTCTGAACCAGGTTGCAAGTCCCACTTCCTCTCGCAACCCAAAGCCTCTGATAACAGACAAAATATTTTCATGTTGCTTCCGTATTCTAGCAGATGGGAGTTCTCATAATGAAGTTACATTTTCCAGCCAATTCTCTCTCTCCCTGTGCTTTCCAGGCTTTCTCCCTTAGCACCTCTCAGGGCTGGTTCCCCCCCCCCCCCCGCCCTTTTTTGCCACAGCAGAATCTGGCTGCTGAGTTTGATGCAGCTGCCTTAGCCACAGAAGGCGGAAGGGAAGACAGTCCCTGCAAATGGTGCAGGGAAACTAAAATATAGTTTCACAGATGCACAAGACTGAAGATATCACCCTTGCTGGCAGGTTTGATGTTGCGCACGTTCACAAAGACTTTGTTTCTCTCCTGAAAGTCTGTGGGGTCCAGATCTGTGATGTGGACATGCAGTTCATTCAGCAGCTTGTGTATCCCTACGGGGATATATGCCAAAATTTAGGGAGGCGAGGCAAATTTTGACTCTGGGGCACTCCTATGAGGGGATGGTGTGAAAAAGGGGCAACGCTCCCTCTCCCCAGTTCTGATGTACAGCCAGTCTATTCTGGCTCCTTCTAGCCGATGGAGAAAGAAAGGCTCATTCATCCAACTTACTCTAGACCTCAGCTTCAGGATAAGGCAAAGCCCAAGCAAGATGACCATCCCTGGCTACGCAGCGCCGTAGTACTCACCCTCTATTGCCCTATATCTCCTTTGGATGATCTGGCCAGAATTTGGCTGGAGGCTGAGCATGTTGGGGTGGGAAGGACAGGGAGATTTTACGGATGTGTCTATACTAAGACTGATTTCCTGGTCTAGATGCATAGATGAGAGCTCCGTTCCCACACTGGCTGCACCTCCTTCACCGCCACGCCAAGACATCTGCTGACTCCAGCTGATGATCTCCAGGCCTCATGCAAAGGTTTTGCCCTGTGCGGAAGTGTGAGTACGGACTCTGAAGTGCTTTGTGTGTCCAAGCTCCTCTGCCCTGTCCGTTAACCTGCCATAATGTGTTTTACACCTCTCCCAGCATTTGCTCTGATACAACCCAAGCAAGAGGGCTCGGACCCACGCTCAACATATCCCAGCTTCCCTTTAAATTCGGGATTGTCTAGCCTAGAGAAGAGGAGGCTGAGGGGAGACCTTATTGCTCTCTACAACTGCCTGAAATGAGGGTGTAGTGAGGTGGGTGTTGGTCTATTCTCCCAAGTAGTTAGCAATAGGACGAGAGGAAATGGGCTCAAGCTGCGTCAGGGGAGGTTTAGATTGGATATTAGGAAAAATTTTGTCACAGGAAGAGTGGTCAAGCATTGGAACAGGCTGCCCAGAGAGGTGGTGGAGTCACCATCCCTGGAGGGGTTCAAAAAATGGGCAGACGTGGCACCTGGGGACATGGTTTAGTGGGCACGGTGGTGTTGGGTTGATGGTTGGACTGATGATCTTAGAGGTCCTTTCCCACCTTAATGATTCCTAGTTTTTGCTTTCATTAAAAAATAATCCAGCCACCAAGCCAGGAAACATGAAATTATTACTCTACCCTTAATTGGTTTAGTGGTGGACTTGGTAGTGTTAGGTTAATGGTTCGACTGGATGATCTTAAAGGTCTTTTCCAACCTAAGCAATTCTATGATTCTGTAAGTGTGGTCCAAGGATTTGGGCCCACAACAGTGGGCTCAGTGCCGAATCTTCATCCCAATTCATCCCAGCAGGATGCTGGAAAACCTTCCAAAAAGGTATTTAGGCACTGATGTCGGAGATGGGGATCACAATGGCAAGGTACAAGGAGAAAGGGCATGCTGAAGCTCCCCACTCCTTGGAGGACACAGCCTAATGCTAGCGCAGACGGCAGGACATCAGGAACTGAAAAACAGCTCAGATACGGCACAGGCTGGGCAGGTGAGCTGCACAGGAGCAGGGTCGGAGCGCTCATCTCCTGCAGAGAGGCAGCATTACGCTGAAACCTGCCCGGAAAGAGCAAAAGCAACCAGAAGACGTGCGGGAAGACGGCAATCAAGCCTGGGCGTACGGATGCATGCCAACGCGAGGGGCACATCGCCCCTTCCACCATGGCCTGCCTGCTTTGCATGCTGACGAGGGTACGAGAGACAGGCAGCTTCTGTACCAGGCACAGGCTGGCTCCGGCTTGTACGGGGCATGCTAGCGCCAGGATTTTGCCACGGTCTCTCATCCCGAGAGCTCACTGTATACAGCAAGCATCGCCTTTGAGTAGAGCTAGGGAGAGGTTAGATGCTGAAGATCTCCCTGAAAGCAGCAGACAGGAGAGATTCTTCCCAGCAGGCTTTCATAGCTGGAAAATGCCAGTTTTTAATGGGCTGAGGGAGGGTCAGAGATTTTCAAAATAATAGTCTGAAATCACAAGAAACACATCCGATAACTCGGATAAACAGCGCTAACTCAGGAACCTGGTAGACTGCTTATTTTAAACCAAACTTGTGACATTAACAAGGGAGAACAAGTTGGCAATTTCCAGCGATCATGTGATGGACAGAGGGACGAGCAATTAACGTTAGAAAAGACAGAGAAAGAGGGGGGAAAAAAAAAACCCAACAACCCAGAAACCCAAGGTCAGCACTGGCTGTTTTACTTTCACAGAGCCCCTATTCTTTTCCCTTCACGGGAGTGTAGGAGCGGCTGAAAGCCACATTCATCGGCAGGGCATCTCGTTGAGATTCTGTCCTCACCCCCCATCTCCGGGGGATTCAGTTATTTTGGCTGCTCCCAATTAACAGCAACCAAGTATCGTTTGTTCAGGGAGGGAGCTGCAAGGCAAGAAGGAGGGAGCGGACGATGGCCAGGCTGTATCATTACAGCACAATAAGAACCGCGGCACAGGAGGAGAACGATCCCGTTCCAATTTTTCTCTCCCTTTTGAAGGGAGTAATTGGAAACCCGAGCTTTTCCCAGCTCTTTTGCTTTTTGGTCACAGTCTGGTGGAGGGGTTTGAATGAGAACATTTCCTACCGAGTACAGCTGATTTTCCCACCGGTCTGGCCTCAGCATTAACTGTCTGGGACTGAGGCTGTACCAATACGATGTGTTTGCTTGCAGAATAGTATTCAGGCATCAGAGGTTAACATAGGCTTCCAGAAAGGCAGTAATTTCTGGTAAACAAAGCAGAG